GACATCCTTAATACTTTTGGCTTTTGAAATCTTGAGGACTTCCGTTTGAGTAATGAAGTCACTCTAGTACACACCGAAAATAGTGTAGAGAATTCCCGAGTGAAACATTCAAGCAGGTGTATATGATGGCATTAAATCAAACATGGCGGATCAGTATTTTTTATACACACACACACACACACACACACACACACACACACACACATATACATATATATATATATATATATATATATATATATATATATATATATATATATCCAATGCAGTGAGAACGAAAGTAATATATAAATTCTAACGTTTACAGCATTAATTCAAAAGAGGGCTCAATACCGATAGTAGAGCGATAATTATTTATTATTTTATCATATATATAAACTACTTTTGTCTATATGATAAAATTATAATATAATATAATATAATATAATATAATATAATATATATATATATATATATATATATATACTATTTCAAATCACGCGCGTATACACACGGACACACACACACACACACACACACACACACACATATATATATATATATATATATATATATATATATATATATATATATATATATATATGTATGATAGAAATATAGTTTTAGGGTGGCATATTTATGAGTTAAAGTGTTCAATATAAGTGATAGAGCGTATGTAAATATAAAAGGGACCACCGAAGACAACAGCGAGCGGTGACAGTTTGCTTCATGCTTAAATACAATCGTCATGGTATAACGATTATGTTTAAGCATGAAACAAAATGTTGGTGCGGGGAATTGACCTCAATGTCCAGTTTATATATATATATATATATATATATATATATATATATATATATGTAGAAAGAGACAGACAGATAGATAGATAGATGTATGAAAAATTCAGATAAATAAAAATATATCAATAAAAAAGATGAATAAAAAGAATGGCGGATGACGCCTATTTTTCTAACAAGATTTCTTGAAAATTCAGACCGGTAGATGTAAATAAATAAATATACTGTTTAATAAATAATAAAGACAGATCATCTAGTCAAATATGAGTATCCAATTAAAAAATACGTTTAAACAAATAAATTAAATATATGAGTAAAAATGTATAACAATGTGGGAAAAGTTTTCGTGTAAAGATTAAGTTCTGAAGGACCAAGCACTTCACCGAAAAAAATCTTTTCCCACTTTATCATATATATATATATATATATATATATATATATATATATATATATATATATATATATAGGGAAAAGTTTATAGACGTTCCAACGTGAGAAAAATGTATATTTTAAAAGAGAGAAACCGCAAACGTTTTTTAGTTATAATGGGGATTTGTTTCAGTATATATATTTTGTTCTTCATATTTCTGCTACACGTGTTTTCGGTCTCGTTACCTTCTTCAGGCAAATAAAAGGAATAAATTTTTTAAATGAATAAATTTTCTTTATGTACTTTTAATGACTCATTGCTCGTTTTCTCTATTTGTTAGTGAGCCGTGAACTCCTCTCTGGACTGGCAAATCAAAAAAAGGGTTTATTTATTTTTTTAAAATAAGCAAGTTTGTCTGATGATCACAAAAGCGTGAAACCTAAGGTTACAAACTCACATCCATATAACTGAATATATATATATATATATATATATATATATATATATATATATCAAATATGTGGTGCTGTTCAATTTATATTACATGAATCATTCATACAAAAAACAGATGTTTTATATCTTGTTTATTTTATGTTTTATATATATTTTAGATACCTGGATATATTATAAAAAAAAACAAATCAATTTCCATGCCTGATGATGTCTACATGAACAAATGAAAGTACTAGCAAATAAAGACCTTATACAAGTTGAATTTATTAAAATCAGGGATCATAACATTCATCTTGAGGTTCGTGGGTTAATGTAATTTTAATAAATTTGTTCGCGAAGATGTATCCTCGCCATTTATATCATTAACTTCAGTAATTTGTTTTTTGTATGAATGATTCATGTAATATATATATATATATATATATATATATGTATATATATATGCAGCCGAAGCCTTTTTAATTTTAATAAAAACTGAATATAATTATTCACTCGAGGATGTATTCAGAGTGCCATTATCAACGCATCTTCTTTCCCTTTCGTTTATGTCGGGGTTTGTATAGTGAGGCCCGATAAAATTAATTTTCTGAGCAGGTTCATTTTTCTAGACGTGCAATAACACCGCTATATTCAAGAAGACGCAGCAGCGACTCTCGTGAAAATTCTCAGAAAAAATGAATTTTGCAAAAAGGAGCAGCTGATGACCTTCTACCGTTGCTCACTCGAGAATGTGTTGGTATACTACGTCACTGTTTCATGTGTGAGCTGCTCGCCAGGGGAGAAGAGATCCCTGGCAAATGATTATAGATATTACCCAGAAAATGTTCGGCTGTTTGCTGCCCACCTTGGAGGACGTTTCTAATTTTCGTTGTCAAAGCAGAACAGAAACAAAATACATAATAAAAGACATCACGCATCCCGGGTTTCACTTGTTTGAAATGATACCCCCAGAGTGACGTTTTAGTTCTATTAATTCTAGGACAGCTTTCATCTTTGGGCTTTGCGTAAAATGAACGATTTTCAATTTATTTTAAACGTATTACTTTTCTTCATTTGATACTGTGAGTGTTTTCCTTTCTTGTGTCTGTGTTGGTGCACCTGGCGACTGCTGTCTAATTCCATTGTACATTGCACAGTGACAAGAAGAATAAATATACATACAATATTCGTATTTCAATATACGTGAGTAAATAAAAATTATCCGCATTTTCATCATAACATATCACATATGTCTTTTGCTCATGCGCGCTGATAGTTGATACTATTGTAGTCGGGAAGTTTGAGTTTGATCGCGCCATTTTTCTTGCTGCTGTTACAGTGTAAACATGGTCGCTTCGCATGAAGTGTGTTCCAAGGAGGAACAAAGAGGATTGATCCGAATTTGCAGAGAACATGTCACCTCATCGCCATGATCATCTTTCGAGCAGTGGTTTAGGTTGACGGGCGTCCTGATTCTTCATCGTGCTTGACGTTTGCCCGGTCACTTTTAAACTTCTCGATCCACTCTTACAAACTTCTACGCAGTATCCTCGCACACCTTCCGACCAGAAAAATCGGATCATTGCTCTGTGTTCCTCCTTGGTGCACACTGATAGCAGAGCAGCCATGTTTACAATGTAACAGCAACAAGGAAAAAAGGAACAAACAGCAGAAATAAAAAAATGGAATGACGTATCCGCTTATCGCTCCTCACCCGTCTGATCTCGATCGAGTTAAATAAATAAAAATACTGTGTACACTGACGAAAAAAGAACACGCAAAAAAAGGAAAATACATTCGTTTAAATTATTTACTGAGACGAGTGTATTTTTTCATAAAGTGATGACATTCTTCTGATTACAACGGGAAGGTTGATTTGATTTGATAAAAATTTTGGCGAACTTTTTTTACTTATCCTTATATCTCCCTTATTAAATTAATACTGAAACATCGGGAAACACTAAAATAGTATAAAATAAATAAAACAACTTAAAAAAACAACTGAAAAAAAATCAGCCTCCAACCGCTGAGCAGGAATTACGTTTCGTATCGCTCATATTTTGTTTTTGTGAGAAAAAAAAAAGAAAGAAAAAGAATTCTGATTTGTGAAAGATCATCGGTGAAAGATTTCAATTTCCAATTTGTCCAACATATTTCCACCGTTAACACTAGGTTTCAGACAAAAAGTCCACAGCTGAATTTTGATCTGAAAGTTTTTTTTCTGGTGTCAACGAACGTTTGTTGCCACTTTTGTAATGTCAACGAATACTTGTTGTCACTTGTCGTAAATGTTCGTTGTAGTAGAGACTTTGTAATCGCAGATACAACTTATAGTAACGCCGTTGAACAATACTGGTGTCAGACGCCTTTGAATAATACTCGCACTAATAGTACTTGCTCGATAATACTCGCTCGAATAGTACTCCGCATAGTGAAATAGCATAGCGAATAGCGGTCCGAATAGTAATAGCGAATAGAGTAGAAATAGCGATCTATTAGACGTCATTCGACTTCCTACTTATGTGTTTCCTCTATGGTCATGTGATCTACTTAATTCAATAATGGGATCGCTTGTGTTTGCTACTGGCGATCTATGTTCAAACTCAAATGTCGGCAGCGACACTTTATTCCTATGTAAGTTTCACTGTGTAATGCTCATATCTGTTTGATTATCATTGTACGAAACGAACCGAGAATCTCGCTGTTTTATCCTTATTTTCATCGCGTGTATTCTCACGAGCTACGTTTCTTAGTCCAACCACTCCTGACCTTTATAACTGGGACCCGCCATTCCACGTGCACAGGTGTGAATCATCCCAATTCCCTTTGTATTCCATTAGTAAGAAGGAATTTCTACGCAGACGCCTTCTTTCCAAAAAGAAAAAAACAAACAAAAAAAACAAAAACAAAAAATGGACTCCTGGCAGGATATTTTCCCAGTCACTACAATCTTGAACTCCTCAAGTCTAGGGCTTTATACCGTTATATAACTCCGTGAACTTCACTTCTTGCCTTTTCTTACGCTCAACACCACACAGTAAGCCTCTACCTTGTGTGGCTTTTTGGGCCTTGTATTGGTTGAACATTAATATAAAAAAAGTGCACTGACAAGAATATATATACATATATATATATATATATATATATATATATATATATATATATATATATATATATATATATATATTATTAATGCATTTTTTTAAAACTTTGTGCTTAAAAATATTAAATATTTGATGTCAGAAAACGTTTTTTTTTTATTATCAGGTTACGGATTTATTGATATATCTACGCATATATCAACATTGTAATATGCTATAGGTTGTATCTGTACACACACATACACACACGCAGAGACTAAAACACACACATAGAGGCTAACACACATATCCGCGTAGCGTTCTATCTATTAGAAAACTCACGTACAAGTATCGAGAGAATTGCCTTCAACCGAAAACTCGACCAATGGGAGAGTGTACATCTGAGGCTTAAGCGAACAAGTGACGCTGAAAGCAACAACAACAAAAAAAAGCATATTTGAAAACACGTGACTGTACAGTTATAATCATCGTTATCATCAGCAGCATCAACAGACATAGCAACAGCAGCAGCTGTTACTTTCGCGCTCATCGCCTAGACAGCAAGTCACGTGTTTAACAGTGTCATGGCGTCGATTAAACCGGATAGAAGCAGTTTACTTCGTCCTTCGCCAAACTACGCACTCAAGAGATTTTGTTTGTTTGTTTTTTTAGTAAGTTTTAAAACTATCTAAAAGAAGAAAAAAATAAATAAATGACTCTATTTAATAATTAGAATTGAAGTTGGAACTTGTATCGTTTTAAAATCGTGGATTATTAATAGATTTTCTTTTTAATGTTTTATGAAGTGGAAAGATTAACCTGTCACTTCATTGAATGCACATGTGTGTGTGTGTGTGTTTATCTTTGTGTCCGGGGTGGGGGGAGCTGCTAACCCGTACATCGCTCTAAGTTCGCTTCTGAGGTGGACGAATTAAATATGAAATCGGTGGTCTCAAAATGAGGTCATATTTCAAACTACCTTCGACATTTTTTTTTATTACTCTTTAATGTTATTTTTTGCGCGTAGCGTAACGGCTAACGGCGCTGTAAATGTGATTGGCAAGCCGATATCGTGTTCCTGTCTAGTCTGTTGCGCCCCTTTTCGTATAAATGTCATTGGAAAATGAGTGAATCCATCACTTCTCCCGCCATCCATGGTTTACATAGCAAGGCAGAATGTGGTCACTAGTAAACACTTTAGGTGAAAGCCCCCCAAAAAAAGAAAAGACTCTGTGGAGAGCCATGACCAGCTAAGTCCAGAAGAGACATGGCATTAAAAATGAATTTTATCGTGGTTCTCACGTAATTAGAATTGCTTAATTGAATTGGTAAAATTATTGAATACAGTATCATCGTCGTCATCACCACCACAGCCATCATCATGATCATCATCATGATCATCATGATCATCATCATCATCATCATCATCATCATCATCATCATTCTCCTGACTGGGTGACCACCTTACTACTCACTCCACATATCTGGGTTGAAATCTGGAGAGGCACTCATTCATGCGTAACTTGTTTTGGGCAAGCTGACCTGGCGGAGCCCATCTCTCTTCGGGTCAGACCATAGCCGATGTCTTCCAACTTGAAAACTCGCCTTGGTTACGGCCGCAAGAAACCTTCCACCCTGGTCATTGACTTCAATCTAGGATGACCCCCCCCTCGCCCAACTATGTCGTGTTATTATCGCACTGGCTGTATACATAACGATAGGACTCAGTATTCCCCGTTCTGCTAGATGGCAAGAAGGTTGACAGGTATCGTTTTTATCCCTGTCGGTTCTTTGGTCGCCCTCATCACCAGAAAAGCCTGCTGGGGAAACAGGGTCAATCACCGATGACACGACCTTCACTACAGAATAAAATAGCATATTAAGTAATTCTTTTGACCAAATTTTACGTTTCCTTTTTCTTCTTAAGCCAAACTGATGTTTAAAGATTTAGTCAAATTAAGTCTCTTCGCTTAAATTTTTTATGCCCGTGTCAAATAAACAGAAAATATATTTCAATGTAACTAAACTACTTTAAATTATCTTACATGCAAAAACAAACTAGGGCACACCGAGGTGGTATAATGGTTAGCAAGCTTGTCTCGCTAAAACAATTACGTCTGAGTAGTGTTCGATATTCAGTGGGTGCTCCATACTTTCGGCCTTGTGCCGCATCTAAGCTACGCTTGGAAAATCAATTTGGGTGCCTCGGCGTTCTGCAATGGTTAGCAAGCTTGTCTCGATAGATCAGTTACGACTGAAAAGTGGGTTCCATCCTTACTAAGTGCTCCGTACTTTCGGCCTTGTGCCACATCTAAGCTACGCTTAGAAAATAACCATACAAGAACAAGCAAGCAAAGAAATAAAAATAATACAGTATATTTATTCTTGTCTAAAAAACCCCGAAAAACTATTTTTTTGTGCGTCGTTATCGCTTTGATTATCGATAACAAAGGTGAAGAGTCTCGCTTCTCGGGCTCAACAATTATAGAATCTTACATTAAAATATTCATACGTTCTAAGGTTCAAAATTTCATTTCTAAATCTTCAACTCGTGATGTATCACAACGTTTCATCATCTTGGTAGATCAAAATCCTGTTTCCTATTAAGTGGGGAAAATCTTTAATAAATAGAAAATATTTTATTTAGTAACACTAATTTTTCGTTTTTCTTTCCTCCTCTCAACTTTTCTTTATTTTCGAATTGCGCAACACATACTGACACCAGTGGCAGAGTTGCTAAGGATTTAGTCAAATTTAAGTACAATTGCTTATAAACAAGTTGGTAATTAAAAAAAAATATAGTGTACTGTGACTTTATTACAGTTTGTTAATCGAGCAGCATTGATATTAATTGTTCCAATCTATTTCACTTTTCGTTTATAATTAAATGAATATTAAGCGATTAGCAAATAAACAGGACTTTTAAACGCGGTTAGTGAGACCCATGGAATAATTCACAAACATGATAATGAATCCTATAAGCCATTAGAGTTGTAGGAGCACTACATGTAGTGCAGACGTAGTAGCAGTAGAGTATTTAGGGCAAGATACTCTGATGGAACCCCTTCCCTTTCAGTTTGGTTTTTGTTGCGATGATATAACCCAACTTCCCCATTCACGATAATGGACGGACTGGTTACCGATTAAGTACGACCACAGCGGACAGTCGTAAAGTCTTCGTTTGTTAACACCTATTGAGGTTAGCATACTCCCGACTCTGACACACCTATATCCGATTATAAACCTATTATTGAAAACCAACACTCGGGTTACTTTGTTTATTATATCTTGCACGAGATATAACAGTTTTGAATTCACAGTTTTCCTTTTCTTAAACAAGAGAGCGCATTCTATACTGCTATTCAACACATAGCCGGAGAAAGATGGAGTAATACGTTTTCTAAGGGCGTTCGGGAGAAGTGAACGAACTAAACTCAATCAGAATTTGAACTCGGGCCGCCGAATTCACTTTCCACAATGAATAATTACGCAATTTTATTTAACGAGTTTAAACTTACATGAAATTCTATCGTACTCTTTCTATTTTATCACCAGAAGTGTCCACTACATACGGATGGGCGGCTACGTTCACAGAAGTGTTCAGTCCATAAATATGGTTAAACTTTGTTATCGTTTATTTTTCGGTCACATTCACCTGTAAAAGAATGAGATAAAGCAAATGCCAATTAATTTTAAGTTAAAAATTTTAAAATACTTGCATATCGATATAGTTATATACTAAAATGAATATAGTCAGGCACAAGAACAGAAAGGCAGAGCATGATGCAAAAAATCGGTTTCAATAAAAGACTAGCTTAGAGAAAGGACTATTCACAACTTGTTGTCCTATGTAGAATTTTATTACAGTTCAAACAAAAAACGACTTATAAAAAGTCATCAAATTAATCATTATATATATATATATATATATATATATATATATATATATATATATATATAGAGAGAGAGAGAGAGAGAGAGAGAGACAGACAGACAGAAAGAAAGAAAGAAAGAAAGAAAGAAAGAAAGAAAGAATTAATACAAGTAAAAGGTTTGTCACTTAGCTGATTGATGTTATCTTCAGCATCCTGACTCCAGAGTTTCGTAGTTGGCATAACGATATATATATTTTTTTTTTATCTATGAAGAACAATATTGGAGGAATTATACATGACAACGTTTCATCATCTTGGCAGATCTTCTGTCGGGAATTTAATAACAAAGATGTTAGAAACAAAACGAAAAAGAATCTAAATAGAATTGACTAAATTATATATCCAAAACACATAAAAAATTATTTTAATTTTTAGACTACATTATTTACATTATTCGGACTATGTCGAACTGAACCCTTTATTTCGCTCACCGGGGTAGACTGTTCTAGTTCCACGTGCCATATTTGATGGATGTCAGTTATCAGTTATCTCCTGTTAATTTTCCCTCTGAAAGTTCTCCACTGCCTTAACCGGGTATTGAACTCACACTCTTGGGTCCTTTCGAAATAAAGGTTTCAGTCCGACATTCCAACCACCTGAAGACGGTCGGAGCGTACAACGGCCGAAACGTTGTGATAAATATGGCGACAAAGATGAGGACAATAGTCCGAATAATGTAAATAATGTACATAATACCTCATCTCAGAAATATAGACAGATTTTTAGACTAATTTAAAATTTAGTCTGATGAAGTCCTAAAAGCCAAAATGCGTCACGAAAACCTTTTCCACTTTGTCATACATCTTTACTCCAAATATATGTGTGTGTGTGTGTGTGTGTGTGTGTGTGTGTGTGTGTGTGTGTGCGTGTGTGTAATGTTAAAATTCTCATTATGTAAGTCTATATATAACCTCTACTCTAAGTAAACTAAACGGTACATTCTGGCCAGGAGAACTGGATTAGATGACCTTAAAATTCGTTCACAAAATTTAGTTTATGTCATAAAAATGCATTAAAAAATACAAAATGGAGAGATGGTCTAAAGGGAGATAACCGCAGATTCGAAGTCTGAACATTATTATTGATAACTCTTTCCTCCAAATTGCAGACCCTAGTTACTATATTTTTAATACTTGGTATAATGCAAAAATATCACAATGATTAAATCGGTCAATAATTATTTATAGTTATTTATACTGAGACTCATGCATGCAATTACAAGTAATCCATAATAATATTTAAAATTTTGAAATTATATTTATTTTTATATGAATTTTTTAAAACTGTTTCTAAATCTTTGATTGTTTTTCTATCATTCCGCCTCACCTGCTATCCTCTCCCGCCGTACCTATGAGGCGTGCCGTACTATTTGGGAACCACTGACTTCAAATATGCAAATAATAATAATAATAATAATAATAATAATAATAATAATAATTGTGCCTGATTTAAAACTGAATAATATTGTAGTATCAGAGATCGGGCTCAAGTTAAAAAAAAATCCATTTTTTCAAGGGAGA